GCAAGGCAGGTTTGGTTCTTGAGTTTAAGGAGCTGACAGTCAGGTGGAGAAAACAAATACTTATATATTGTAAAAATATGGTAAGTGCTTTTAAAAAAGAAACAGGGTGTTATTCTAAAGGAGTTGTTCCACTTTTGATAGGGTGGCTCGGGAAGGATTCTGAGAAGGTAAAATTGAAAAGATCGCTCTGGCTGTAGGTTCTGGAGGGGGCCCAACCACACTAGGAGGCCACTGTAGGGTGTGGGAAGAGATAGTGGCAGCGGAGGTGGGAGGAATTCCTGAGCAGCCACCAACACTGTTGAATTCTTACCCAAGGGCCTGTGACCCTTATAGGTGGTGGGTACTGCGACCTGGAGCAGGAACAACAACATTGTCTATGATTTGATTTTCCTTCAGTCTCTCTGGGGATGAAGAGGATGAACTTTTTAAAGGGGCAACTCTGAAAGCTGTAAGGCCCAAAGCACAGCCTGAGGAGGAGGATGAAGACGAGGTGGTAAGGAAATCCCAGGCACTGCCAAGTCCTCACACAGCCTCCTGGGGGCTCTTCCCCACAGGCTCTGAGAAGAGGAATGGAGTCTGTTGGTGGCCCACTCCCTGGACTCTGTGTGCAGGGCCCTGTGGGAGCAGGCTTAGGGCTGGGCTGGGAGGGCACAGCTCTGTAAGCAGAGTGGGGACGGTCACATACTGCTTTACTTTTGAGAAAGAATCATAGTCTCTGTCCATGCAGGAATTTTTCCTGAGAGGAGGAAAGTTGGGCTGCCTAGTCCTGCATTGGAATGCTGAAGCCTTAGGCTTCCCCAAATCTGTTAGGATATTGTTTATATTTTAGAATTGGAAAGGACTTTGAAGATCATCTTGGCTGGCATCCTTATTCATAGATAAAGAACCTGAGGCTCAAAAGGATGATTTACCCAAAGCTATGGAGTGAGTTAGCGGCAAAGCTAGGACTAACCCCCAGGCTCCTATAAAGACCACCTGTTCCTGAGCATTTTCCACTTACTCAGCCTGCTTTCCTGCTGCCTGTTTTGTCATCACAATATCGCTGGGCACAAAATGGGTTCAGTACTAACAGCATAGCTTCATTAAACAGAGAACAAGAGTGAAGGCCAGGAAAGGAGGGTGTCCACAGGGACTGAAATAGAACCCTGGTTCTCGAACCTGCTGTTCCCCGTTGTGCTAGGTTACAGCCGTTCTGGCTGTCACTAGGCCATTTTGGCTGCTCTGAAATGCAGCAGAGAGCTGTGACGGATCTGCAATCCAGCTTGCTTGTGCCAGAGTCCTTCCCTCTTGCCTGTGTTTCTTTGAGGGAATGTACCAGTTCCTTCCATTAGCCTTTCTTCCCAAGAATCAAATTTCCGTTTTGAGAATCCAGAATACCAATTCTGCCCTAAAAAAAGGAAAAAAAGGGGGGGAAATACCAATTGAGGATATTCTAAGTGACTGGCCTAAAAGTTGTTGGAAATTTTTAATTAGTGAGTATGTTCTTGGATTAGCACTAATACCATCAAGTTAACAAGTATTTCTTGGGTACTCTGAAAATGACTTCACAAACGGTCTCATTTTATCTTCTACTAATCCAATGAGGTAGATACTTTGTCCCATTTTATAGATCAGAGGGCTGAGGCTCAGGAAGATTAATAATTTAACTAAACTTATATAGCCAGTAAATGTAGGGCCAGAACTTTAACCAGGACAAAACAGAAGTTGTGAGCCCCACTTGAAAATCCTGTACTGTCTATACTGTCGGAGTTAGAGATCACTTCGTTGATGTCTGAAGTATGAGGTCTGGTTAATTGGTAGTGACATGGGATTAGCCCAGAGACCTGTGTACACACCATGCTGCCTTCCCTTTTGCCTGGCCCTGCGAAGGTGGATCCTGGTTGGCAGTGGCTCACCAGAGCAGAGAATGACTTAGTGGAGACTATTCAGTTCGTGCCTGTCTCAAGCATCAGTCCCTGCTACCCGTGTAGGTCCTGTTCCCTTGCCAGGAGAAAAGAAAGTCCAGGAGCTCAAGTTGTGAAAAGAGTGGGTCTCTCATGGCCCATCAATCCCTTTCACCCCCTCAGTACCTAGCTGGAAGGAGCTAGAGGTGTGGGAGGCTGTGGTTCTGTGTTCTTCACCTCTTGGGATTCTCCACTTGGCCAAACCTCCAAATTAAACACTATTTCAAATGATGGGATCACACCCAGAGCCAGTCAGGCCACCTTAGGCCACAACAACAGTGTTTTTTCATATGTGGTTGTCTTCTTTTCGGCCTCTCTTCTTCCCACATCCTCTTGCTCTCTCAGGGCTGCTCAGCTTCTGGTTCTTTCTCCCACTCCAGTGTTTCCTCTTTGACCCTTCTTTCTCCACACAAAATGTGTTAAGTTACCGCATGAGAGGGGAACCTGTCAGATCAATACATGTGCTTCACAAATAAATGATGAGATTAGCCAAACAAAGTTGGTCTTTTGTCTCTGTTGGAAGATTGCCTCCCTTCTCTGCCTGCTTGTCTCAGTTATCTGGAAGCCTAGGTTTGCTGCCCTCAGAGTTGGCCCTGTCAGTACAACCTCCTTTCCATCCTAGAGCTGGGAACAGAAATTGGATTGCTTCCACTCACAGGTGGAAAGTCCAGTGATGCAGGGACAAGTGAGGACTGACTACTGTTTCCTGTTTCATCAGAGCATGAAGGGACGCCCGCCCCCAACACCCCTTTTTGGAGATGATGATGATGACGATGACATTGACTGGCTGGGATGAAGACCCAGGAAACTGGTGCAAAGGTTTCTCTGCAATCCTTCCCTAAGCATGATTTTGCACAGCCAACCCTGGGTCTAGGCAAGCCCAGGGTGAGGTCAAGGTGAGCATTCTGGGAACAATAGTTCAGGCTCAGAAGGTGACTTAGCCATCTTCTGAGCCCCACCCCTGCCTGGCCTGGTGAAGAGGATCATAACCCTGTCTTCAAAAACACTGGGTTTTCAGCAGCAGGTTGGAAGAAGGACTGGTATGTTCCCCTCCAGCCAGTCAGTCACCTGCAAGAGTCCTGTCCTCTGCCAAACTTTTTAACGCCTTCATTAACTCTCAGACTGACCTGGGAGCCCTCCTCTGCCTAAATCCAGTGCTCAACTCTGCCCCAGCAACAAGACAAGTCACTTGGGCTGAGGTCTCCCTGGTAGAAGAACTAAGGGAGATGATACCATCTAAATCCCAGTGCAGTTAACAGTCTGGCCTGTAGTCCTGCGACATGTATCTTTTTCTCTGCCTTAAATCTGATACAGGAGGTCAAAGACTATTTGAAAATAAAACTAAAATAAATGTCTATAATGAAATTTGGCTCAAGCCCTTGGAGAGAAATTGAGTTTGGTTCCAAGGGCTGTCTACCCCTTTATGGGAATCGAAGGGTAGGAGTCATAACAGATCTGGGTCAGTTAACAGGCACAGAACATTGTGACATATGACTCCCTTTGGTACCTAACCCTGGAACTTTTCGGCTTTCAAAGAAAGTCACCACTCTGTAGTCCTAGCCCATCCCTGGGGCATGATGGTTCTCTGAGGACCAGTCCAGTCATCCTGTTGCTCCCACAGGCTTAGTCCTGCTGTCTAGGAAGCCATGCAGAGAAGGTGGGAGGGTCCCTTCTTTCCATTGTTCATGGCACCTGAGGGATTCTTTACTATGAGAGCAGCTTCCATTCCCTTAGAACTCAGGGGACCAGGTCTAATGCAGAGAACGGTTGTGAGAAAATATTTGTGGTCATTTTCTTGATTCCAGGATCTTCCAAAGACCATGCAACCAGTTTTCAAAAAAAAAAAAAAATAGAATAATTTTAATAAAAATATTCCCTGATTTTAAATGTTTATGAGCTAGGACTCAAATTCCATTTCATCTGGCCTGGCATCATCCTTGCAGGCTTTGGGTGTCTCCCATGTGTGGGCCTGGGAGGCAGTGAGAACTAATTATTTATTTGTTGCTTAACAAAAGGCAGTGCTATGTGGCACTTTACACAGACTGGCTTATCTCCAGCAACCATTGCAGAAGACAGTGTTATCCCCATTTTATAGAGGAGAAAACTGAGACTTAGAGAGGTAAAGTAACTTGTCCAAAGTTACATAGCTAGGAAGCCTAAGAACAAGAATTCAAATCCTGGCCATCTGATTCCAGAGCCTGTGCTCTTGGCCAGCACAGCAGCGTTCCCTGCCTGACCATCACTGTTTTGGGGAAGGGCATCATGTTGGCCAGGCTGGTCTCAAACTCCTGGCCTCAAGTGATCCTCCTGCCTCGGCCTCCCAAAGTGCCAGGATTACAGGCATGATCTGGCTCTAAAGCATAGATTCTTTAAAAAAAAAAAATTAAGTCCTCTATACTATAAAAACCACAAGTGTCTAACCGCATTTAAAGAGACTGTCAAACTGAAGAGGTTGCCAATCATCCATGGAGATGCCAATCTCCACAGTACCACAGCGGAAGGAGTATTAGCTTAAGAAATGGACTGTTGACGCTTCATCAGTGAGAACACATCTGCTGTACAAAATCTTCAACCTACTGAGACTCCAGGCAGCTTCCCAATTCCCTGCAAACATGGGGGATGCCCTGATGAATCCTAAGGGTGTGACATACTCTACTCTCTAGGGCAGTTATTTCTTATTGTAAATTAACTAGTGGCTATTTTCTTCTGCCCTCAGGGAGAGAAGATGCTAAACAGTTGTGCTAACACAGGTGTTTATAGTCTATGTGACAGCTACTTTTCTTACAGCAGGTACCCAATTAATGCTTATTATATGAATGAAGAATGACTTGCCCAAGTTGGCATTCTGGGGCGTCAACCTGGGTGCAGCATTTCAGGGCTGGGTTTCCCTGAGCAGAGCTGTCTTTGGAGCAGATGGATGGACCCTGTCCTCAGACAGCCTTATAAAGAGCACTACCAGCTCCACTCAGCTTAGCCCCGCTCGGCTCCTGCAGTTGTTATAAGGGTTCATGTGCTTTCTGATGGAATGAGGAGAACAGAAGAACAGTCAGTCATAGACTATTTAAAAATATATATTTACTAAAATGTATTTGTTTTTAATTCCCAAAGCTTACAACCATCTTTTCATCTAGTCTGTGAGGTATAGTATACAGCAGTGATTTTCTCTCTTTTTTATAAAGTGAAGAGGTTCAACTATGCAGAGAGTCCCATCTAACTTGAAAACTCTAATGGCTTTGGTTGGATTGCATCTTCAGTCAGTACCCTGCCATGGCTTAATCAGTATTTTAAGTGAATGAATCATGTTTCCCTACCAGATCATTACGAGTAAGCAGTAAGGGATAAATAGAGAACATTAAGTACTGAACATTACTAAATGCAGTTTTTTGTTCTGCATAGAAGAAACATGAGGATAAAGGAGGGCATTAAGGCCATGAAGATTTTTCCAGACAGCCAAGACCATCAGATAATTCTTCCTGCAGGCAGTGCCTTCTGGTAGAAGGAGCTCAGTCTATCAGAGAATTAACCAGGAGCCTGAAAGCAGTCCTGTGTTTCTGCCTTTAATCAGCTGTCACTTATTCTCCCCCCAAGAAAGGGAAATAGGTCCCAGCAGTTGCTGCCATCCATCATAAATAAAATCATTTCATTAAAATTTTTTTATATGAATGTGCAAAATTGCCAACTAGGAGTTTAATGGGAAAAATAAAAAATCCTAGTTTGTCATCATGATCCACAGAAGAGATGAGCTTCATGTATTCCAAAGGCAGAAAGGTGAGAAAAAGGATCTAGCTTGGTCTCTGTCCCTCAAAGACAGAAGAGGTCGGGGAGTCCAGTGGATGACGCTCCTGTAGATAAGGCACAAGGCAGGAGAGCTGAAGGTGTCCAGGTTCCACAGCCTACATCACCAAGAACCCTTCTCCCTGCCTTGAAATCTTTGGAAATTCCTGGTTTGAGTCACAGAAATGCGTTGTCCTGGGCTCAGCAACCCTGCCACCTCAGTACTCGTCATTCTCCCTTTGGTCACAGCAGCCGTCTTAAGACACAAGACCAGGCCTGGGCCCTATGCAGACTGGCTGAGAAGAAGGTTGCTGCAATGGCGTCCGAACTCCAGGGAGCAAGTGCTGGCTTCAGCTCAACATTCCCAGGGGCTGCGAACAAGGGGGAAGAACAGCCATCAGAAGAAAGGGCCACCGGAAGTACAATGTCTGGAAGAGGGAGCCCCACGTCCCTCCAGCCTCAATGCCTACACATTCCTCACCAGCTAAGCCATGCTGAGAAGTGGGTAAGCTAGGTAGTAGCCCACAGCAGAGCCCAGGACCACACCAAGGAAAATCCAGGTGTTGTAGGACATCACGGCCAGCATGATGAAGTAGCCGATGACCACCTGGATGACATGGATTAGAGACTGGCCAAAGTGACACAAATACCACCTAGATAAAAAGGAGAATCAAGTTAATGCTGGTAATGAGCTAGAAGCTGGGAGTTGATATCAGGGAGTAGAAAGCTGTTGAGTTACGTGACCACATTATTTATAACTTGTATGCTTAACCTAGGAGAGATTTCTTTCTGCCCCCAACCCCCACCGCCAGAAAGAACTCAAGAGATTTCTTTTTAAAGAGACATATCTTCACTACATTTGGTTCTGAGCTTCCTGGCGTCCTAGGCGAAGGGGAAAATGATGGGATATATAATCTATCTTTCTGACAAGGAACGAGATAATCATCAGTAAGGCATATTTTCCCCCTGAATTTACTTTGGGAGGCAATATGACAATGGAAAGAAAAAGCATGGACAATTGGGCACAGTGGCTCACACCTGTAATCCCAGCACTTTGGGAGGAGGCCAAGGTGGGCAGATTACGAGGTCAGGAAGTCAAGACCATCCTAGCCAACATGGTGAAAACCTGTCTCTACTAAAAGTACAAAAAAAAATTAGCTGAGCCTGGTTTTGTGTGCCTGTAATCCCAGCTACTTGGGAGGCTGAGGCAGGAGAATCGCTTGAACCCAGGAGGCAGAGGTTGCAGTGAGCTGAGATTGCGCCACTGCACTCCAGCCTGGCGACAGAGCTAGACTCTCTGAAAAAAAAGGAAGAAAAAGCATGGACTTAGGTGACATATCAGTTCCTGCCTCTGCCGCATATTGAAAGTGGCCTACACAAATGTCTTAACTTCTCTGAACTTAAGATTCCTTATCAGTAAAACAGGAAGAATACCTCCCTTGCAGTGCAGTTGTGAGGATCTGAGGTGCTCATGTAGGGTGGCTAGTGATGGAGCAGGCAGGCTGATTAAGCACAGGCGAGGTTGTGGCTGGACAGAGGCCGAACAGGGACCCTAAATGGTTGCCTGATTCTAGTGGGAAGGGAGGAGAGGCGAGCTTGTCTTCCTCCTCCCACCAAGTGAAATATATTGCTTCAGGACAGCTGCAGATCCCTTCTGGATATGGAAGCCTAGCTGCCCATGGAACTGGTGAGATTTGAGGGTGGGTGGGTGGCCACCCCTGTTGCTAGATAGGGGCCCGCATCTGAAGATCACAGTTCCCTAAAGAAAGCCTCTGAGAGACGGTTCACAGAGAGAGCTTTCACCTGGGTATCAGGAGACATGAGCTCTAGTTCACTTGACTATGTGTAGTCCCTTTGGCGAGTCATGGTCCTTCCCTGGGCCTCGCTGTCTTCTCTCTGAAGTGGGGCTAATGCTGTCTGGGCCAGCCTGTCTCTCAGGGTGAATGTAAGGCCTCTAACCCTTTCCCATACCCACTGCCCATACCTGTGGTGGGTTCTGCTGATAGGGGATGAATCTGAGCCTGCAGACTCCCCATCTGTCTCTGCGATAGCCTGCTGGCTGATGGAGGTGGGCAGGTTCATCAGCACCTGGTCGAGCAGCTTGGCTTTGCCAACCTTGATGCCTTCATATAGTACAGCCAGAAGCAGGACCACTAACACCGAAAGAGCCATGCCTGTCAAAGGAGGCAGAGTTGCGGAGACCTGGCCAGGCCGGCACTGTTTCCCTTCCAGCACCTCTACCCAGTCCGTGGAATCCCCTCCATCCACCTTTCTCTTGCATATTCTTCCCCACCCTTGCTGAGCTCCAAACTTCTTCACTATCTTCATCTTCACCAGACCTTTCTTAGTAGGATTGGCCTATTGGAGTGTGGCTCTGAGATCAGGAAGAGAAGCTGCCTGAAAAAGCCAGGGGCTGAGGGGGAAGAAGCCATGTGCCATCACCCCAGCCACTCCCCCTGCAGGCTGCACAAATCTGTCGTGACTTCTTGTTAAGGGCAGAGTACTGCAAGGTCCTATTTATATGTAAGTATGCAAAAAAAAGTCTGGAAGGAAAGATAAATAGCAGAAGAGTAATAGTTATCTCAGCAAAGTAGGATACAGGTGGTTTCTATGTCCTTGCCTAACCTTCTAAGGTTTCTTTTATACATATTACCTTTATAATAGGGAAAAACCCAGTAAGTTATTTTACAGAAAATATCAAGTGCTTATTAGAGCTGCTATGTAAAATTAACTGCCAATTACTACTTCCATTTCACTAAGAGGGATAATAAGTGGTCCAGCTAAAGTATTTTATTGGACTCTGTGACATAATGAGAAATATATAACCTGTTTCTGCTCTGGTTTCCAGACACACGAATTCTAGAACCCTTGGAAACTCTGAATTGTTGTCTTTTTATATGCTAAAGAGATGACTGATGGCTGGGGCTCCTGGATGGGATCTGGATGGGGCTGGTTGCCAGGGGAGCCAGCCTTGTGCTTGGAGGTTGGCACTTTCAGCCCCACTCCCTACCTCTGGGAGGAGAGAGTGACTGAGGCTGAATTCATCACCAGTGGCCAATGATGTAAAAAATCATGCCTCTATATGAAGAAGACTCCATAAAAACCCAAAAGGATGCAGTTAGATAGAAGGAATAAGTTATTGCAGTTAGATAGAAGGAATAAGTTAGACAGAAGGAAATTATAATTAACTGTAATTTATTATGTATTTCAAAGCAGAATTATAATATTCCCAACACAAAGATAAATGTTTGAGGTGACAGACACCCCAGTTACCCTGATTTGATTATATATTATATATAGGTATCAAAATATCACATGTACCCCCAAAACATGTACAAATATTATATATGAATAATTTCTTTAAAAGGACAGGATTTGAAAAGCTTCTAGTTGCTGAACACATGAGGGTACCTGGAAGGTGGCAAGCCCAGAGAGGGCCTGGAGGCTCTGAACTCCTTCCTACATGCCTCGCCCCATGCATCTTTTCCACTCAGCTATTCATTGTACTTTTTTATTTTTTTGCGATGGAGTCTCGCTCTGTTGCCCAGGCTGGAGTGCAGAAGCATGATCTCTGCTCACTGCAACCCCTGCCTCCTGGGTTCAAGTGATTCTCTTGCCTCAGCCTCCCAAGTAGCTGGGATTACAGGCACCCACCACCACATCTGCCAAATTTTTTTTTTTTTTTTTTGTAATTTTAGTAGAGATGGGGTTTTACCATGTTGGTCAGGCTGGTCTTGAACTCCTAACCTCAGGTGATCCACTTGCCTCGGCCTCCCAAAGTGCTGGGATTACAGGTGTGAGCCACCACACCCGGCCCATTTGTACTCTTTTTAACAAATGGGAAAACACAAGTAAAGTGTTTCCCTGAGTTTTATGAACCATTCTAGCAAATAATTGGCCCCAATGAAGGTGTTATGGGAACTCCGATATACAGCTGGTTGCCCAGAAGTACGGGAGAAAACCTGGGACTTGCGATTGGTGTCTGAAGTAGGGGGCAGTCTTGTGGTACTGTGCCCTTAACTTGTGGGATCTGCACTAACTCTGGTCAGCGTCAGATTTGAATTGAGTTGTAGGACACCTAGCTGGTATTAGAAAATTGGTCACTGGGGAAAGCCTACACATCTGGTCACAGAAGTGTGTTGAATGTAAGAGAAGGAAAAACAGTAATTAGCTGGGCATTGTGGTGCACGCCTGTAATCCCAGCTACTCGGGAGACTGAAGCAAGAGGATTGCTTGAACCTGGGAGGTGGAGATTGCAGTGAGCCAAGATCACGCCACTGCACTCCAGCCTGGGTGACAGAGACTCCATCTCAAAACTAAAAAATAGAAAAAGAAAAATCAAGTTTTATTCCCACCCCAGTCTCCCTACACCCTAATTCTCTTCCTCAGAGCAACCTCTTTTATTCCATGTGTATATCAGCTTCTGCTTGTCCAAATGACAGCATCCTACTACACAGACTCTTCTGCATTTGACTTCATCATCCAGTTGTACCTCAGTTCACTTCCCCAGTGGCTTCATCATATCTGTGATAGATTATATTTTCCAAAGACAGCCATTCCAATATACCCCACCCCACATGTGAGGAACTCTTCAAAATGACCCTACTTCCAGCTGCTGTCTGACTATACTGCATGAAAGACCTTCAGTGAGGACCACTCAGCTGGGTCCAGTCAACTCACAGAACCTTGAGAGAGAATGATAAAATGACATTTCAAGCACTGTTTATCAGCAATAGATAACAAGAAAGAGTAACCCATTGTAAGGATGACCATAATTTATTTAATCTGCACCTGCAATAATGAGCATTTGGGCTATTTCCAGTCTGTTTTTAAGATGCAGTTATTTAAGTTGAAAAATAACTTCTTCATGAATTAGTGCCAGACTCTGCCTTTTCAAGTCAAAGGAGTCCCTTTCAAACTGGTGTTTCATCTCTAGCATCTGCTGTGGGCTTCTGAAGTGGTGCAGAAAAATGAACGCAGGATATGAGAGGTGCCAGGTGGCACCAGGAGGCCTTGATCTAATTGTGGCTCTGATGCGTACTTACTGTGTGACCCTGCATGAGTCTCTTCCTGTCTCTGGGCTTTAGTTTCTTCCCCTGTAACAGAGGGAAAAGCTGCTTCCCTGCCTCTCTCGGCCTTTGTGAGGATCAGTAGGATAACGGAGCCCTTTGTGACCTGAAGGGGAGTCGTTGCAAATAGAATTATAAAAGCAAAGTTCCTGCTCAGTGTTTATGCCAGAGGAGTCAGCCTCACTGAAATGCTCACAGAGAATCAAGAGAACCCAGATTCTCCATTGCCTAGTGCTACAGAGCTTTCCAGGCTACAAGTTTGAGCTCCCCAATTCTTACCAGCAGGACTGTGGACACTCCAGAAATCAAACAGAAGCACCACTGTATCTGAGAAGATGAAATGCATCTGAAAAAGAAGGGAATCTGCATCATAGGGGTTCAGGACAGGGGAAGTCACGGTCTCTAATGCTCTCCAGCAGCCTCCTCTGGGAGCACAGAAAAATGGAGTCACTAGAAGTGCTAGAGGGTCATCAAAAGTCATCAGGACCAGCTGAGGCCATAAGGAGCTGAGACTTGTCCAGGAGGGTCAGCAGCAGAGCTGTAATTGAGCTGGGCCTTCTCCATATGAAAGTAGAGGTGTAGGCCAGGCGCAGTGGCTCATGCCTATAATTGCAGCACTTTGGAAGGCTGTGGAGGGTGGATTGTCTGAGGTCAGGAGTTCGAGATCAGCCTGGGCAACACAGTGAAACCCCATCTCTACTAAAATACAAAAATTAGCCGGGCGTGACGGCATGTACCTGTAATCCCAGCTACTTGGGAGGCTGAGCCAGGAGAATCGCTTGAACCTGGGAGGCAGAGGTTGCAGTGAGCCAAGATTGCACCACTGCACTCTAGCCTGGGTAACAGAGCAAGACTCTATCTTAAAAAAAAAAAAAAAAAGAAAGAAAAAAGAAAAGAAAATAGAGGTATGGGAGTGCCCATCCTCACTGGGCCACTGGCTTGGGATGTGACAGTGTCCTTAGACTATGTGATAATGTCCCCTCCATGTGTTCCAAGAGCAGCTGCCTCTTCTTACTCCCTGGGGCCCTAACCATTCTGCTCTGGCTCCCATGTGATGGGAGCCTGGAGTCCTCTTTGTCCTGCCGAATCCAGGTAGATCCCATGGTGTTTATCGTGGAAGGTTCCAGAGGCAGCTGTCTTCAGTCTGTACTCCACATCTGTCCACTCATTCACTAAACATTTGCCCCATTCCCCGTTCATGTGCCCAGCGTTATGGAGGTATGTTAATGTCTCTGACCTTGGTGAGTTCACAGCCTTACAGGAAAGCCTGCAGGTAAAGCAGTGGCCATGCAGTGCCCGTCAGATGCCTTTTCAAAGGGTGCTTGCTCCACCCCATGTTCAGGATGGCATCATGGCCTTTTTCTACATCATCTCATTTCAATGTCATAACACTCCTCTGTGTGACAGGGACAGTTAGGTCCATTTTACAGGAAGGAAAACTATGGAAACCAGCCTTAAAGAAGTAATTTGCTGGTGGTTGCAAAGCTAGTAAGTTGGCAGAGCTGGGATTCAAACCTGAGTCTAGCTGGATTCCACAGCCCTGGACATTCCAGGACACCGTAATGTCGAGTTTAAGCACCCACACCAGGCTTAATGACTGGAAAGACGAGGGCCCAACAAATCTATCGTCAGTTCACCCTCTCAGGGAATGGAAGGCTCCCTCTGGTCCCCAGGTAAGCCCTCCTTAGCCAGCACAAGCAGTTCTGCAAACACTGTCAGTGCTTACCCAGCTAAGGAGAGCCTGGCTGAGTTGTATTCAGCTAGCAGAAGCCTTTGCCTTCTAAGACAATAGCCAAATATTAGGATCCTTGAATGTCAGCACTAGAGGTATCCTCAGAGTTTTTAGTCCCATGGCTTTCAACTTTTTTCACCAGGGAACACTAGCCAATTTGAATCTTTCTTGTAATTCCATTATATAAAACACGGGGCTTAGTGAAGATGGGAGAGAAATCTGAGCCCTGCTGAAACTCAGTTTGAAAAATGCTGATCTGGCCCCACTTCAGTCCCTTTCCACCCCTTCTCATTTCCAGATGAGGAAAATGAGTACAAAGAAGGAAAGTGATTTGCCCGACTTCCTTAGAAGCATGGTTACTGGCTGGGCGAGGTGGCTCATGCCTGTAATCCCAGCACTTTGGGAGGCCGAGGTTAGCAGATTATTTGAGGACAGGAGTTCAAGACCAGCATAGCCAACATGGTAAAACCCTGCCTCTACTAAAAACACAAAATTTAGCTGGGCGTGGTAATCCCAGCTACTCAGGAGGCTGAGGCAGGAGAATTACTTTACGGTGAGCAGAGATTGTACCACTGCCCTCCAGCTGGAGTGACAGAGAGAGACTCTGTCTCAGAAAAAAAAAAAAAAAAAAAAAATCATGGTTACTCTCTATGTTCAAGGGAGATAAGGAGACTATGGGTTTTCGTGAAGGCTGTGGGACTATCAGTTCTTAGAGAAAAGGAGTTCAGGCAGAGGCAAATGTCAGTGCGGGGGTGGAAGGATGGGCAGATTTGATTAGCTGCCATTTTGACAGGAAGCTGTGCCATGTGGGTGTCCCGTGGCCTCCCGGAAACCAGAGCCACAAACTTCTGCTTGCAGCTGACAGCCCTAAATCACAGGCCTTGCGTGTTCTCGCCGCCTCCAGTCCTCCCCTTCTCGATATTTAGGACCAAAGGAGATGGTAAAAAATAGTGAACTGAGTCTAGGATTTGGAACAAAACAGATTGGTTAACCAGGGCCTCTCTCTGGCCTCAGTTTCCTCCAAGGGGAGCTGGGAGAAAACCCTGCAAAGGCATCCATACAACACTGACACACAGACAGGGCTCATCCCAATGCCTTTCCCCCATACATGTTAAAGCTGGAGGGGTGTTTCTCAGAAGTGTTCCATGAGAGAAGCACAGGATGCTAGGAGGTACTGGGAAAAATGGATACTATGGTCAAGGGAGTTTGGGAGAGACTGGAATTGGTCAAAATAAGATTCAGCAGCTTTCGGCACTGCCAGAAGCCTGTACCTAGAACTCTCTTCTCCCCTTTTTTTCCTTGCTGAGTGCCCCGTGGGAGAGAATCTCATAGACTCTCCTCTAGGAAGTGCTAATCTAGAACAACCCTCTTTTTTCATACTTGGGAGGGAAATGACACTTACTGATTATTCTGTGCCAGGCACT